GTGTGTGTGTGTGTGTGTGTGTGTGTAATGGAAGACAAGTGTGTGGAGCTTTACAGGCTCATGTGACGGAGATAAGAGCAAAGACAGTGAATGTTGGTGGACTGTTTTCTGACCTATAACCCACTGTCGTCAACTAACCTTCAGCGTTACATGAAAAAAGTCTTCCTCGGCCTGAACAAACAGTCGGCATCATTTTTTACCCAGCTTGCTTTGTGACCCACTCACACAGTCCCATTCACGTCTGCTTATTTACTGCTGCCGTGTGGAAACCGCAGTATCCCGGCTGGAGGACTCAGTGGTGTACGCATGCAGAGGTTGAATGAAAGAGCTCCTGAGGTTCTCAGGACAGTAGCTGTCTGGCTGGCTGGGTCTTGTTTCCTCTCCTGCTGTGTGGCCTGGTTAATGCGCTCCCAATGCCGTCACTGGGAGAGTAGGGCAGCAGCAGCAGCAGCAGTGAAGACGTGCCTGTTATGGAGCATCCATGTTATGCTTACACAGTTATATAACTTGCCAGAGGTGATGCAGCATTCACACGTAGACAACTCCATATGCCCTCGTTCGTTTCCCTTTATTTCATTTTTCACAAAGCGGACATGTACATGAGATATTAAAACCCTAAATCTCTAAATAGGTGGGAAAATATGAAAAGAGAAATACAGTGAGGGGATTAAATCCTGTTTCATCACAATCAAGAGACTCCTGATAGAAAATGTTTTCTCAGTTCTGTTTTATCTCTGGGTTGAGAATTTGTTTGTACAAATGAAGAGTTGAATGTTAAAACCTGCACAGAAGCTCTAATTGATATTCATTGGAGCAGGCATTTAAAATAATGGTGCGCTAGAGTAACGTTGAATGTTTAATCAAAGCTGAGTGATAATGTGCCACTGTTGATATCCTACATTATACATGTTTTAAAGCAGGAAAACCTTTCTGTCATAGAATGATTTAGAAATACTGTGAGCACTGTGCTGAGCAGTCTTCTTCTTTGAGCTCTAGTGAGCGATCCTTTGTGAATGAGGAGGTCAGTGTCTGATCACGTAATCACACCGCCACGTGGCGCAAGTAGGTGTTAGTAGTAAACCTCCCGTCCTCTTAATCTCTTTTTTAACCTACTTCTGCTCTCCTGCTGCGACAGGAGACCCCAACTATCTCTGGTGATCAGCAACACAACTGTGAGCACTAATCCCGACAAAGCTGCCTCCATCTGACATCCATTTTAACTGTTCATGCCTGAATCTGTGGAGTTATTCTGGGTGGGCCATGATCAGGAGAGACGTTTACGTCATGCAAAAGAAGTTCATGAGGATGTAATTAGAGTGGAGTCCCTCCATAAAAGAGTGTTTATAACAAGAAGGAGGGCAAGTGGGCTCCTGTCCCAGCAGAAGAAACTACAATAGTACAGCCAAGGCCCAAGAGACCCACACAGACTTCACACACTCGTAGATATTAGTTCCCTGAGTGAGGCTGATTCGTTCTTTTCACAGAGAGAAGTCAGTGAAAATGTCAAAAGACCAAACTTCTTTCTTGGCCCATGCCTCATCCACCAGGTTTCAGGGAAGTGTTTTTTGTGAAGAGTGGCCAATCTCTCATATGTGGCAAACATGTTAAACAAAGTGAGGAAAAAGTTTGTCAATCCTCCGCACTAATCCGGATCACCACTGAAATGTTACGGGTTCTTCCCTAACTCAAACCACGTCCTCCCACAAAGTCTCATGGAAATCCATTTATTCGTTTTTTTGCGTAATCCTGCTGACAAACACACAAACACACAAATGGACAGGAGGGAGAACACAAACCTCTGTGGGAGAAGTAAACTGTTTAAAAGTGGTGCAGCGTGTTTGTGGGGGGAAAAAACTGTTCCTGCTGCTGCCGTTGTGTTCTACTTGATTTCTCATCTCATTATTTGTCATCAGTCTTTTATTTATACGTGGACGTATCTTAATCTTAATTCTCTTCTCAGCTCTGTTTCGATTTGACTCAGTTGCTCATTTGTGATGCTGAGACGCTCCAGCCTCTTTCAAACTGTCCCAGGAAACATTAACATTCACGTATGAGTTGAAAACTACGGCCTTCGCTTTTTCCACATGCTTTAAGAAAAGTGTCCTCTTATTAAGTAATATTTACAGAATGGTGATAAACAGCAGAGGGAGAGCTGGGTATCGTGCCGTGCACTCAAGACACAGAGCTGAATGGTACAGGAAGCTTCCACCTACGAACTTTGGTTCCTATAGCAACAGCACGGGAAGCACCATGTTACTGCCGCTCTGTCTACATGTGTGTGTGTGTGTGAGATATGTTTACATTCATTAATCAAGCACAATACAAGTTATACAAATAGAATAAAACCTTTTTTGTAGATTTTTGCTGGCTACTGAAACAGAATAATCCATCATCAAACCAGTTGCAGCTTTAAAGTTCTCTCATTATTTTCATTAGTCTTACTCCCACTGCTCACATGACGAGGAGACGAGGAGAACTGGCTGTTGCTCAGGAGGATTTATGTAATTTTGGGGAACAAATCTGCATATTCACATGTCAGCTCTATGCCAATGAGTGGCGGAGTCATGTAACAGGAACCAGCGTCTGTGCTTCTGCCGCACACTGTGGAGAAAAACAGCAGAACACGTTGAATTAGGTCACTGACTTGGGGAGACGTTCTTTGTGCCTGCAGTTTGCAAACACAGTAATAGTGTGTTTCAGAGTGGGTGGTCCTGATTCGATTTCGCTGCAGACACTTGCACATCAAAGAGCGGGCTGACGAGAGACCGCTGCGTTTAGCTTGTTGTCATGTCAAACCCAGCACGTCTTTATAATGGAGTTCATGAATTATATGTTAAATATCAAGCCATAGTTCCATTTCTCTGTTGCCAGGGTTTGATAACAACATCGGCTGGGCTCTATTTTTAACCTCGCTCTGTTCTTATCCTCCTCCAGGTTCTTACTGCAGAGTCTTGAGGACTTGGACTCCAGCCTTCGTAAGCTCAACTCCCGTCTGTTTGTGATTCGAGGCCAACCCACTGATGTCTTTCCCAGACTCTTCAAGGTGACATGTTTACCTGAAAGCACCCTAAATATTCTGTCATCTCACTCCAGCTTAACTTTTTTAATCATTATCACTGTTAATCCCTTTTCTCCAGGAATGGAAGATTTCTCGTCTGTCTTATGAGTATGACTCTGAGCCCTTTGGGAAAGAGCGAGATGCAGCGATTAAGAAGCTGGCCTCTGAGGCCGGAGTGGAGGTGACAGTTCGTACCTCCCACACACTCTATGACCTGGACAAGTGAGTCGATATCACCTCAGCAACTGCATTTAATCCATCTGTGCAACCACCTGTGCCGTATTCAGTTTCTGTCTTTGCATGTCCGAAGTCCTTGACTCTGTTTTGTTCTTATTTCCTCTCTGCAGGATCATAGAGTTGAACGGGGGACAGTCCCCTCTCACCTACAAGCGGTTCCAGACTCTCATCAGTCGTATGGAGGCAGTGGAGGTGCCTGCAGAGTCCATCACCGCTGACATCATGGGGAAATGTGCCACGCCATTGTCCGACGACCACGATGACAAGTTCGGAGTCCCCTCCCTGGAGGAGCTTGGTGAGAGACGTAAAAACATGATCACACGTGACACGTAACGAAATTCAAAAGTGTGGCCTAAATCTTAACGTGATGTTTGTAATGTTTCCCTGCAGGTTTCGATACCGAGGGTCTGTCCTCCGCTGTGTGGCCGGGGGGAGAGACTGAAGCTCTCACACGACTTGAGAGACATTTGGAGAGGAAGGTAAGACCAAGAATCTACATTTCATTTCTTTCACAAATAGAATTCAAATACAGCAGATTTATCACAATTCCTTTTTAATTGTGGTTTTACAGCTGAGTAACATGAGATTACTCAGCTCCTCCCTGAACATGACAACCTTGCTATCATGCCTGGTCATATCTGATCACTGAACTGTTTTCATCAGGCGTGGGTCGCCAACTTCGAGCGTCCCAGAATGAACGCCAACTCGCTGCTCGCCAGCCCGACGGGCCTCAGCCCGTACCTGCGCTTTGGCTGCCTCTCCTGCCGCCTCTTCTACTTCAAACTCACCGACCTCTACAGGAAGGTACGTCTTAACATAGACAAAAAGAATTACCCAAATAAGATCATTTTTAAATCTGGAAGTTGTGGAGGTCATATTGTGCTTGAGGGCAGAATTTGTGCATGAATACCAGCAGATATTATTAGCAACATCTGACTCCTCTTGACATTATGAGGGGCACCCCCTGACTTTAACTGCAGAAATGGATCAAGGATCAAATTTCTCATGGTTTTATCCTCTTCTCCAACAAGGTGAAGAAGAACAGCTCCCCTCCTCTCTCGCTCTACGGTCAGCTGCTGTGGCGCGAGTTCTTCTACACGGCGGCCACCAACAACCCGTGCTTCGACAAGATGGAGAGCAACCCCATCTGTGTCCAGATCCCCTGGGACCGCAACCCAGAGGCGCTGGCCAAGTGGGCGGAGGGACGCACGGGCTTCCCATGGATCGACGCCATCATGACGCAGCTGAGGCAGGAGGGCTGGATCCACCACCTGGCCCGGCACGCCGTGGCCTGTTTCCTGACCAGAGGAGACCTGTGGATCAGCTGGGAGGAGGGCATGAAGGTAGGCCATGTCGATGAGTATAGAGAGGGATATAAGTTATTTAATGATTTGAATTTCATGTCAAATTAGTCTTTTCTTCCTTGTTGCTAGAGATGTTCTGATACAAACACCAGCATCAACAATACCACTGATATAAGAAAGAGATATGCAGGAGCTGAAGTCTAATACAGAGGAAAAAACACGTTCAAACATTTCCGTTTGTCGGTTAACATGAGGCCTGTGTGTGTTCAGGTGTTTGAGGAGCTGCTGCTGGATGCGGACTGGAGCGTGAACGCAGGCAGCTGGATGTGGCTCTCCTGCAGCTCTTTCTTCCAGCAGTTCTTCCACTGCTACTGTCCCGTGGGCTTCGGCCGACGCACCGACCCCAACGGAGACTACATAAGGTGAGATAATCTGATCCTCCTGTGGTGTGATGCGAGACCATTGATTTCAATCTTGGTCTCGTTCGTGCAAAAAAGTTACAAGTCGTCGTTTAGATTTCTTGGATAAAACATTCCTCATCCTCTCAGACTGATTGAATTCTTATCAGAGGTCTCTGTAGCTGTTTAACTTGCATATTCAATGCTGGTTCATTTTTTTTACTTTTAAACAAACTAATATATTTTACATGTAAGTAATTAAACATCACTGACATCACTGAACCTCTTCATCTCCTCACTCAGGCGCTACCTGCCCATTCTGCGAGGGTTTCCAGCCAAGTATATTTATGATCCCTGGAACGCTCCGGAGAGTGTACAGAAGGCAGCCAAATGTGTTATTGGAGTCCACTACCCAAAGCCCATGGTGCACCACGCAGAAACCAGCCGTCTCAACATCGAGCGCATGAAACAGATCTACCAGCAGCTCTCCTGTTACAGGGGCCTCGGTGAGGACGCTGGACTCACTCCTCTCAGACATGTTTAATGTTAATATGAAGCAGGAACACGTGTCAGGCTGTAGGCAGCAGGGTGCAGATATCAGGAAAACAGGTTTTCACTTCAGATGTTGACTTTTATGATGAGGTCACAGGAAAGGTCTCCTTCAGGTGATCCGTCCACGTAAACAATTGATTATGTGAACAAGCCATGTGATTGCTACATGAAGAAAAGCTTGATAAGTTTTAAGGAGCAGAGTGAGACATTGATCATCAGTCGTCCAGCAGGTGTTGACATCCAGAATATAAAGAACCAGTCGACATTCTGTCTGTAGTTTGTTTTGAGACTCATCAGGACAGATAACGTCTGGAGTGTTAATCGTGCCGTGATGTAGCTGATGTGATGTTTTCTGTGTCCTCAGGCCTTTTGGCTACAGTTCCCTCCAACCCCAATGGTAACGGCAACAACGCCGGCGAAGCATCCTCAGATGGGATGGGATTTCATGTTGAGGCTACTCATGAAGCCGCAGCTCCGTCCAGTAAGAGACACACCTCCTCCTCCCTCACTCAAAACTCCTGGATTTCTCGTAACTTTCTCTGCAGTGACCTGCAACTAAGTTACATCCATGATCAAGAGCTGTTTCTTCTCTTTCGCTCCAGGCTATCGGATGCCTGTTCACTCCCAGGGAGACTGGCAAAGTGGCGTCATGCTTTACCTGCAGGGAGATCAGCAAACCAGCATCGGCACACATCAGCAGGGTGAGGAGCTCACATCTAATTCTGTCCTCTCTGCTGACTTGAGTCCTGACCGTCCTGGTGACGTCTCATAACATCTCAGCTAACTCTTGCTTGTTGGTTCCAGGTTATGCCGGCACCAGCTCCAGTATGATGTGTTACACTCCAGGCACCCAGCAGATTCCTGCCCCTGTCATTCAAAAAGGTGCGTACCGACAGATCCGCCTGAACTACAGTCTCCTCCTGATGTGAAGTTTTAATATTTATGTCCTATATCTAAGGTGTTAATAGTTTGTCTGTGCTGTTGTATTTCCAGGGCTTGAACACCACTCCATCACTCAGACCAGTGGCAAACGTCACAACGAGGACTCTGGAAATGGCAAAAGCTCCAAACTCCAGAGGCAGAGCACTCACTAGAGAGGTTAGTGAACATAATCCCATTATTTGCTGAAACTCGAACGAGCGTTTATTATTCATCATTTTTAATCGTCAGTGTCTTTCTCTTTCCTCTGTCTGCAGACAAACACAGAGTGGACGCTGCATTTTCGTGAAAGCACTACAACGCTGCATGATCTCACCTTCAGGAGCAGCAAACGTCGTTAAAACACATTCACGAGTCAAAGTGTGTCACGTAAATGGGACTGTACATTATCATTTGGACTGAGAGGCCTGGCCAGTGTCACTGGAGAGGCTGTTACACTGTGCTCGTCTTTCGGTTAATATTGCTGGGACAGACGTCCTTGTGTATATAATGAATTTGCTAATTTCAGCTCACATACAACTTGTACATATTTGAATTTTGTATGTGTGTTTTCTCTCTTTGTGTAGACCCTCCTTCCCCCCATAGACCCACTGATATATATTTTTGATATGAGAAATCATTGTGGATGGATTTTTTTTTTTGGAAGATTTTCAATAAAAATTCAAGCATTTATAGAACATCCATTCCAAAAAAAACGGTGATAAATCTTGTATCTGTGCTATGACAGCAGCATCCCGTCATTTAATCAACCTCCCGATTTTCAAACCATCCCATGTATCTATCCACAGACATGTTTCGATCATTTCCTCTGTATCTGAGTTCTAGCTGGTTCATCTTAACTCCTCACCACTGTAGAGGCGATATACATTAACTATAAATGGTATTTCAAGACAGGATGAAAGGAACAAGGAGTCTTCATATCATGCCCCCCTCCACCTGTATAATTCTCAATAAATGTACCACTGGAGAGAACTGCTTCATTTGCTCCCACCCGGTCCTTCTCAATCTGCTTGTTTCATTAAAACTGGTTTAAATATACAAATGTTTTCAGTCTGTTATTTGATTTAAAACTTTTCAATCAGTGATCTGTGCAGAAGTTTTTGCGTAATCCTGCTAACAAACAACCTCTGGAGGTGATAACTAGGCTCGATCGATTCTGTTACTGTAAACTACAGTTACACTCAGCATGCCGTACATTCATGTGGTATCAAAATAATGCTAAACAAATCATGTGCTCTACAACTCAAGTCTGATAGTCAGTGAAGATGTCGGTTCATGAGTTGCTGACGTTATCGCTTATGAACCAATTAACACAATCAGCTCTGAATTCACAGTTTGACACTGAACAAAGAAATTAAAGAGACGTAACAGATGTTGACATTTATTGCTCATCTGTTGAGTTCAGGAGTCACAATCATCAATAAACGTTTATCTTATTTTTCTAGATAAGACAGGCACTCGTTTTCATACAGTTCTTTTATATTTCTTTACTACATCTTAAAAAGATTATAAAACAGCCACGGAGCCTTCAGCATCAAATCAAACCGACATGATTAAGGCCTAAACATGTTTGTATTGCTGGAGGAATTTTGATGAAGGAGATGAAGAAGATGTCTCTTTTGAAAAAAATCAACACAGACATTTTCCCCATCAGATACAGCCCAGTGCAGAGTCAGGTGCAGACACTCAGTCCTCAGCAGACCTGAGCGGAGCGACAGGGTTAAAGAGCGGCCTTTGCTGTCTGAGGTGCAGTTTGGGGTAACTCATCTCAAAGTCCTTCTTGGTTCCGATTATAACGTCCAAACTGCCGGAGCGCACGTCGTACCCGTAGGACGCCAACTTCTGGATCCGGTAAAGAACGATTTGTGTGGTGAGCTCCAGGACGTTTGGCGTTTCCTTCACCTGCTCCATGCTCACTCCGACGTCCATCAACCCCTGGAACCGCCCCACCAGTGTGGGCAGGGAGTAGTACAAAATGGCCGGGCAGCAGATCACTATCTCCTTGATTTCGCCCTTGGAGCAGGCGAGAACCCCCTCGATGTAGGCCAGCGCGTGCCGCATTCCTTCGGGCTGCAGCTCGGCGATGGAGGCTCTGAGGCTGGAGACCAGGCTGAGGAGCTCCTCCGTGGTGAAGCCCTGCTCTCGGAGGAAGCCCAGACTGTCCCTCCAGCCCTCAGCGGGCCGCAGCAGGATGCTCGGGTTCTGGCTCAGGAGCTTCTGCAGCCAAACCCGCACGTTGTCCTCATCACCGCCCAAATCCAGGTAGGTCTCCCTCAGCGTGTGGATGACCTCCTTGTTGAGCTCCACAGGTCGACTGAAGCTGTGCGGGGCGCTCGCCATCAGCTTGCCGATGATTCGCTTGCTGAGGCGAAGGCTCTGGAGGTAGAGGATGTTGGCCCTCTGGTTGCTATGGTTAGTTAGCGTGAAGAAGGATGCTGGGAACTTCTCGATGATGCTCATAAGCTCACGGCTGTTGGGGCACACAGACACCCAGAGGTCTCTCTGGGCGGCCACATCCTCCGGCCGACACAGGACGGCCTCGGGGTGAGCTTCCAGGATCCGGGCGACCGCTGGTGTGTCCGCTCCCATGTCCCTCAACAGGTCGGCCGTTTCAGACACGTAGGCGGAGCCCTCAGACAGGACCCAGCCCTTGAACTTGCGCACCTTCCGGATGTCCACTGACAGCTCGTAGAGGGAGGCCACAGTTTGCTGGTTCTCCACTCTTCTTTTGGGAGGACACACTGCAGAGGTGGAGGTGGAGGCGGAGGGTGGGCGGAACAGCTTCATCCTCTGACAGGAGGTGCACAGGGACGCAGTGGTGACACGGAGCATCGTCAATAGTGGATCTGCACGAAGAATAAAAGATCTATAAGCACATGAAATAGAAAAGTATCCTAAACTATTAAAGTTTTTAAAAAAGTGTGAGAAAATCTACATCAGGACAAATTACATCAGTGGATCCTAAACCTTTGGCTTTTAACTCCTTAAAAAACAAGACACTTCCGTGTCTTTTTATTAGGTACACCTTCATAATTCATTCTAATACATCAGTGTTGTGTGGCAGCAACTTGTGATTCATATAATTAAAGGGACATTTTAACAGCTATTTCATCGTATATCTGGCCGATAACATCACAAGTTCATTTTATTAGACTTTATACTGTTAACAGCAAAACTTAACTTAACTGTGTATAATATAGAAGACCAAAAAAAAGCAAATATCTGTATTTATTATTTGAAAAGCAGGGACCAGTGAATTCAGAAAAGGTACGATTAGAAAGAGTGCAAGTGTACCAGAGATATTTTTCTTCTCTGCTAAATAATTTCACTTCTCTGTCACACATACCTTTCCCCTCGGTGCATTATGGGGTTTTGTGTATTTTATTTCCGGTGCACAGTTAACGAGTGAGTAAATAGTGATTAAAAACAATAGAATATGTTGTCGTAAAAAAAAAGGGAGATCAGACAAAGTCATATTTGCAAGTGTAACAGAGAAAACAACAATGTCCCAACTTCTCAGTTTAATGACGGATCCTGTGAATTCCTGCACACCGGGATCTCTGTGCAACGATACTAAAAGAAGTCGCTCAATAAAACCAAATCTAAATGAATCCAAACCCGGACTGGATTAAACCAATGACCCGGTTTAACAACCTGCTCGAAGCTGAACACTGAGGTTGTGCATCTGAAACCCCCACACACCAGCCGAGAGAACACAGAGTACTGAGTGTTCGGGCTGAAAACGCTTTGTCCTCACCGGCTGGAACCACAACACAGATCACACTGTTCCTCACACACGAGATGCACGTGGTGTGTTGATGCAGCGAGTAAAAGCACAGCAGCAACAACACAAAGCGAACGTAAACACGGGATCCAGGAAACTCAGCTTGTTGATGTGAGAATGTGAATTAAAGTGTTGTTGTTACCGCAGAGCTGCAGCTGGAGGTGTCCTCGACGTGTCACACCCACTGCCCCCGGCTTTCGTAACCAGCGTACGCGGAAGGGGCGGAGACGCAGGGGAACACATGGGCGACATGTGACCGCCCCCGCGCGCGGCCAGCGGGAGGCGCTGTGGAGTGAGGGGGCGGCGCCGGGGTGCTGAGCCGGACACACACACACACACACACGGAGCGGACGCAGCCGCCGATACGCGTCCTCACCCCCGCAGAGCCGAACTCGGACACCCGGGGGGTTCAGAGCGTCTGCTAACGTGGAGGTAACGAAGTCTGCGAAACATGACAACCGGAAACACGTGACAATGAGAGTTTCTTTAAAACACACAAGAGTTTTACACTGAAGCCGAAAAACTAGCTTGTTGCCTGTTAGCTTAACGGCTAAGTTCTGTGTTTACACACACACACAAATACACGTAACGCTGGTTTTAAACAACGGAACAATTAGTGACGTGTCCTGAGTTCAAGTCACAAATGTTACAAACACGGTTTCATGACGTCAAAGTCAGAAAACGTGACGTACGTGTTAGAAAACTACAACTCCCAGATGTGGGCGAACAGCTTCCGCGTCATGTGACACACCGACTCCAATCACATCGCAGAGTATTGCCGCCCCAGATAAATAGGACACACCCCTTTTTAAATTAATTAATTAATATTTTATGT